TGAGGTCGCAGGAGGGCGGATCCGCCTGGAGAGTGGGGGGAGAAAAACGTCTCCTCGCACGGGCCAGTTACGTCCGACCAGCCTAATTGGAAGCTCAAATGATGACTTCGCCTGCGGCGGTGCGACCTCTCCGTTTCATCCGCTCTAGGACAATTTCGGCACTTTCAAGGCCAAGACAGAGCCGAAGAACGAGGACCGGTTGACAGATTATTGCGGCCAGGTGCCTTCGTAGCTTGCTCTTTCCTGGTGTTCCTTCTCTCTCCCCTCCCCTCTCTTCCTTCTCTTATCCCCCTCACCTTAAGTGTTTTGGGACGTGTCTCTTCAGCTGATCCTCACCTTCAGCTGACAGGACAAACTGGCGTAGTTTCTCTCTGGTTTTCCAGTGTGGTTTCAGTCAGCGCCTCGATGGCGTGTCATCCTTCCATCCATCCATCTGTCGAGGGCGTATAAACGTACCCTGGGCACAGGATCCCTGGTCAGGATCGGTGCAGGTGTATGAGTCGGCGCCCTCGTGCTTGCCCCTTCCCCTCCCGCCACTCCCACGAACTTAGTATGATCAGAGGAGCACAGAGCACTCGCACTTGCGTTCCTCCAGCGCCCCCAGACCAGGGACTCCACATCGAATTACAGAGCGAGCACACGGCAATGTCGTTTGATTCCCTCTCAACCCAAAAGCGTGGCAGGAGCTTAGTGGGCCCCAGAGACCGCAGGGCGTTTTTTTTACCGTTTCCGAAAAAGGGGTTTTTGGATATGGAAATGACAACAAAAACGGCGACTGGAAACGGCAACAAACACGGCTCAACGGGGCCGGAATTGGAAAAACAACGGTGACGGAAGCAGTGAAGAAACGGTGTCGCAACCTGCAAGAGAACACGGCAAACCGGAACCGGTGAAAAAACGGCCCTGTCGTTTCTAGGGCCCATTGAAGGGCAGGAGTGGAGGGGGGCGCACATCGCATCGCGCGCTAAAGAACGACGTGCAGCTTCCGCCTCGGCGTCGCGCAGAGGGTCCGTGAGAGTTGCGCCCCCGCTGTGGGGGTGCACGGCGCACGCCCGCGGCTCGCCAGATCCAGGGAGCCGCGCAGGGGTTTTGTTCCTGACAAGGTGCGGAGGAGGAGGAAGAGGAGGAGGAGGAGGAGGAGGAGGGGGGGAGGGGGAGGGGGAGGGGGAGGAGGAGGAGGAGGAGGAGGAGGAGGAGGAGGAGGAGGAGGAGGAGGAGGAGGCGGACATGTTCTTTCCGGGCCGTGCGCGAGAGAGCGAAGTGAATTTGGGTCCGAATCTTCGAGTAGGGGATCGGCTACAGAATGCATGTACCCCCAATTTGTTTTCGCCCGTCGAATCCACGAACAGTTCGTCGAATCTCGGTCGATTTATCGAGCATTCTATGTACTTTTCGTGGACTCGACGGAAGAACCAACTTTCGGGTACATCAATTCTGTAGTCGACCCCCCTACTCGAAAGCTGGGGTCGATGCTTTTTTAGTTCCCCAGCCTCCAAATTCTACTTGTCCACTTGTCCGTGTGCGTGCTTCGTTACTCCTGAACCTGACCTTCCCGACTGGCCAAGAAGTCGTCCCTTGCCCGGAGCCCGGCCCCAGTCTTTTGGACAGCCCGCTAGCGCACTCGGCACACATTTCGTCGCCGCATCTCCTGTGCACGACTTTCTAATTGTGGGCGCCTGTTTCTTAGGTCACCCCAAGGGGCGCGAAGACAGTCGCGCTCCAAGCGTCGCAGCTGGGGTTGGACAGGCGCCCTTCTGCAGGGCGGCAGTGCGAGGGCAAAAAGATAACTGCGCGCCGTGCACCGCGGGGCGCGACGCGCGACGTTAGGTGACCTACATCCCTCTGCGAAGCTTTACGCAAGTTTTCTCGCGCCGCGTCGGCGCCCCCAGACCCCCAAATGTCAACGTTGACGCCGAAACGCGCGACTTTAAACAGTTGGACCGACGGCGTCCGCGCACCGCGCGCCGCGCGCGCAGCCGAACACTGAAATTGGCTGCGAGGGGGGGGGGGGGTCGGCAAAACTTGCGTCAAGTTTCGCGGAGTGTTGTACACCTTAGGCGATGCTTAAGAAAACTTGAGTTTTCGGCCAGAGTCTCGATTATTCTTAACGTTTCAATGTAAGTCCTGAGTTTTTAATAGAAATGTTGGTTTTTATTCAAGATCTGAGATTCTGAATTTCTTAACCCATGATTTCTTAAGCATTTCGCAGGGTGTAGGCTTCTCCTGTGCACACTTCTCCACGAGGCCGTCGAGGTTTCGCCCGGCGGGCGCCCGTGGGCGCCTCGTGAGGCCGAGGAGGAGGAGGAGGAGGAGGAGGAGGAGGAGGAGGAGGAGGAGGAGGGGAGGATGAGGGGGAGGAGGAGGAGGAGGAGGAGGAGGAGGAGGAGGAGGAGGAGGAGGAGAGGAGGAGGAGGAGGAGGAGGAGAGGAGGAGGGGGAGGAGGAGGAGGAGGAGGAGGGGGGAGGAGGAGGAGGAGGGAGGAGGAGGAGGAGGAGGAGGCGGAGGAGGAGGGGGAGGAGGGGAGGAGGAGGAGGAGGAGGAGGAGGAGGAGGAGGAGGAGGAGGAGGAGGAGGAGGAGGGAGAGGAGGAGGAGGAGGAGGGAGGAGGAGGGGGAGAAGGCGGAGGAGGAGGAGGGGGAGGAGGAGGATGAGGAGGAGGAGGAGGAGGGGAGGATGAGGAGGAGGAGGAGGAGGAGAGAGGAGGAGGAGGAGGAGGAGGGGGAGGAGGAGGAGGAGGAGGAGGAGCTTGGGGTGCTCCAGGGCCGTTTGGGCCGTCTTGTGGCCCTCTTGGTGCCGTCTTGGGGGCCTCTTGGGCCGTTCTAGGGCCATCTTGGAGGCCCCTTGGACGATCTTGGCGCGATCTTCGGGGGCTCTTGGGACATCTCGGGCCCTCGGAAAGCCGAAAAAAACATGCTAACATCCTTCAACAACTAAACGGACATCCATGGTTTTGGCATCTTCGGACCTTCCTGGAGGCCCTCTTAGGGGGCCTCTTGGGCCGTCTTGGAGTCCTCTTGGGGGCCTCTTGCGGACCTTTTGGGCTGTCGTAGGCCATCTTGAGGCCATCTTTGAGCCGTCTTAGGTGCACCTTGGGACCACGTTGGGGTCTCCTGGGGCCACCTTGGCCGTCTTGGAGGCGAACTTGGAGGCCATCTTGGGCCATCTTGGCATTCTCTTGACCTTCTTGGACGCCATCCACGGCTCGGAAACCGACGACCTGTGCACCTTCGGCTGCTTCCCGGGTGCCCGGCGCGCTGGGCCGAAGCCCCATGGGGGAGTCCTTTTGGAACATAAACCCAAACCAGAAGCCATACACCTTAGGCGATGCTTAAGAAAACTCAAGTTTTCGGCCAGAGTCTCGATTATTCTTAACGTTTCAATGTAAATCCCAAGATTTTGATAGACATGTTGGGTTTTTAGTCAGATTCCGAGATTATGAATTTCTTAACCCATGATTTCTTAAGCATTTCGCAGGGTGTAGGGTTCAGCACGCCAGGCACCACTGTGAAAAATCAATAGGGGGCGGCGGATCGAATGGCCTTCGGCCCATCCCGCCACCGTGCCTGGGTTGTGGGTATGAAGCCCAGTGGATGTTCGTTGGGATCTCGTGGGAGGCCGCTCGGGGGCCTCTTGGGCGCCGTTTTGGTGACTCTCGGGGCTTCTTTTGGGCCTCTTGGGGGCCTCTTGGGGGCCTCTTGGGGGCCTCTTGGGGGCCTCTTGGGGGCCTCTTGGGGCCTCCTGGACGCCTCTTGGGGCCTCCCAGGGGCCTCCTGGGGCGGAAGGCTCGGATTTTTGGTTCGCGTTCTCTCTCTTGGGCCTCTTTGGGGCCGTCTTGGGGCCGTCTTGGGCCGTCTTGGGCGCCTCTTGGACCGTCTCGTGGCGCTCCGAGGCCGTCGTGGGGCCCTCTTGGAGGCCCCTTTTGCTGTATTGGGGTGGTCTTGGGATCCTCTCGGGAGCCTCTTGGGCCGTCCTGGAGCTCTGACAAAAGTCGTAGACCCTACCACAGGCCCTAGGCCCTAGGCCCTAGGCCCTACCCTAGGTAAGCCTCGGGGCTCAAGTAGGCACGAGGGTAGCCTAGGCCGGGGTCTTTATCCCCATGTCGGCACACCCCTCATCTTTTCGTTGCCCCATAGGGAGCTCCACCGAAGGCCCCAGTGGCTGCGCTCGCATGCCACCACCGCACAAATTTCGGCACACCCTTCACACGTTTCGTTGCCCCAAAGGGAGCTCCACCGAAGGCCCCAGTGGCTGCGGTCGCATGCCAACACCGCACCAAAATCGCACTCACCTCACACGTATCGTGGCCCCAAAGGGAATTCAACCGAAGGCCCCAGTGACCGCGGTCGCATGGCACCACCGCACCCATTTCGGCACACCTCTCACACGTTTCGTTGCCCCACAGGGGGCTTCACCGAAGGCTCCAGTGTCTGCGCTCGCATGCCAACACCGCATCCATGTCGGTACACCCCTCACACGTTTCGTGGCCCCAAAGGGCTGCGCTCGGCGAAGACCCCAGTGGCCGCGCTCACATGTTCCCACCGCGCCCATGTAGGCACACTACTTACAGGTTTCGTGGCCGCACAGGGAGCTCCACGTAAGGCCCCAGTGGCTGCGTTCGCATGGCACTGCCACGCCCACTTCCGCACTCCACTCCCGCGTTTCGTGGCCCCGTAGGGAACTCCGCCGAGCTCCCCAGTGGCAGGGTTGTCGTTGTAGTAATGATAACAGTAGTAGTAGTAGTAGTAGTAGTAGTAGTAGTAGTAGTAGTAGTAGTAGTAGTAGTAGTAGTAGTAGTAGTAGTAGTCGTGGTAGTAATAATAGTAGTAGTAGTAGTAGTAGTAGTAGTAGTAGTAGTAGTAGTAGTAGTAGTAGTAGTAGTAGTAGTAGTAGTAGTGTGGTAGTAGTAGTAGTAGTAGTGTAGTAGTAGTAGTAGTAGTGGTGGTAGTAATAGTGGTAGTGGTAGTGGTGGTGGTGGTGGTGGTAGTAGTAGTAGTAGTAGTA